CTCGGATACTCCTAATTCCAAAATGGCGGCGGCCGATGAGAGTCTGGATCGAATAGCATGAAAACGAGGCATCGAGGGCCAAGTCTCGTGTTTACGTATGTAAATTAATGGCAAAGAAAAAGAGCATCATGCCGCAAAATTGCTGTGTCCCTGGCTGCACTAAGAAAGTTTACGAAGAAGATGGTATTAAGATCTCTTACCACAAGTTTCCTGAAAATAGAGATTTATTTATGAAGTGGATCGTTGCCATTCGAAGAGATGAGGGTAAAGATTTCAAGGTGACAGAACACACGAGAGTTTGCTCGCGACATTTCAAATCGTCAGATTATCTACCGTCACTCACAGGCCGTAAAAAGAGTTTGAAATCCATGGCAGTCCCATCTTTGTTTCCTTGGAAGCAGGGTTCGCCGATCAAGCGAAAATCACCGAGGAAAAGAACTCTGATTTTGAAAAAAACCGCGACAAAATCACAGGAGACGACAATTGCGCCAGCACGAGTCGACAACTGTTCCACGTGCGATCTAGTGACATTTCAAGAATCTCGCGCTTCCTCCCCGTCAACACTAGCAGATTCGGCAAGCACCACAGTAGAAGAACCAGCTGAGGATCTGGAAGCTCTTATTTGCGAACTTAAACTTGAAAATGAACGGCTTGTCGGGGAAATCCGTAAAATCACTATTTCAAATAACAATTTCCAGTCGGAAGTAGAGGAACTTAAACGCCGGAACGATTCCTTGCAGTCAAGAGTGTTCTGCATTGAGAAATTTTTGCCCTCGGAGAAGGATATCGCTTTTTATACGGGGTTCCCAAACAAAAATGTCTTAGAAAGTGTTTTCGCGTTTTTAGATCCTGGTAAGAAAGGGGAAAATATAAATTACTGGCACTCGGATTCACCATGTGATGTCCCCTCCCCACCCTGTCAGAGGGATGAGGAAGATATTCCCAAGCAGGGTAGGCCACGCCAATTGAGCCCAAAGGAAGAATTCTTTTTGACCCTTTGAAGACTAAGGCAGGGGTTCAAGGAGGAGCATTTAAGCCACTTGTATGGAGTCTCACAGACAACAGTAAGCAGAATAATAATTTCATGGATAAATTTTATGTTCTTAAAATTCAGTGTAATTCCAGTGTGGCCATCAAGAGCAAATGTGGATTTGTGCATGCCTGCTGACTTTAAAGACAAATACCCCTCAACTAGGGTCGTTATTGACTGTACTGAGGTACGATGCCAGATGCCCAAGAGTCTATGCCTTAACAGTGAACTTTTTAGTTCTTACAAAAACCACACAACTCTTAAAGGTTTGATTGGCATCTCACCAGGAGGTGCTATTACCTTCATCAGCCAGTTATACACTGGTCATATTTCTGACAGGGAAATTGTTACAAGATCAGGATTTCTGAATCTGCCTTTTAATAGGGGAGATTCTGTCATGGCCGATAAAGGCTTTACTATTCAGGACCTTCTACCCCTTGGAGTGTCCCTAAATATTCCACCTTTTTTGGGAAACAAGGGTCAAATGAGCGCAGCAGAAGTTGTTGAGACACAGTCGATCGCTTCTGTTCGGATTCATGTTGAAAGGGCAATAAATAAAATTAAAAATTTTCATATATGGGATAGTGTAGTACCGTTCACCCTGTTTGGGGTTGTAAACCAAATGTGGGTGGTATGTGCCATGCTATGCAATTTTCAGAACAGCATCATAAGTGCATAACTTGTTTTGATAGCAAAATATTTATGTTTGAGGGAAAACTGAAAAAGGCCCTGGTGTTGAAATCTCTTGGCAAATGATTTTTTTAATTCAATTCTTATCCTTTTAGTTTTTATTTTGTATGTAAAATTTTCAAGAAGTAAGTTGTAAAATAACTTTTTGGGCTAATTAACAGCACGATGTTTGTTGAAATTGTGCATTGCCACGTGATGTAGACACCGTAGAGACTTGCGCTATGATTACAAAATTGCAATCCAATATATAGTAATTTTGCAAATATTTTTCTATTCAATAGTCTCAACTGACACTGAAATATTTGCCAGTATTTTTTATTATTACAATAAATTATGATAAAAGGCCAGTTGTCTTTGTCAGGGTATTTGGTTTCTATAAAAAAAAAAA